TAATTCCACGTAGGCATTTAAATTCAACCTGGGGTGTGCGATAGACTTACCTCCACGTGGTGCACCCTGGGCAACGTATACTCATACGGCAAAAAAGTCTATTAACCGGCAGTTGACTTCTCACCTCAAACTACCACGACCCCCCTGGTTGTCATATTCGACTCCTTTCACAGTACTCATCTTACCTTTTTCCCTACCTTTGTGTCTGTCTGCCTCTTTTACATCTGTAAATTGCTCTTCTGTTCCCCACCCCTCGACTTTCTGCTACTTTGATGAACCTTCCCTCTGCGAAGCCCGAAGTCAGCTAAATGGCTAATGATAGCTATCATATCGCCTGCCATTTGAAATAAATAAATTCAACCTAAGCCTCTCTTTCACAAAAAAGATGTAGATGGAGGTGTTACAGCACTTTTGTAATGCGACACATCCGAGAACCTTTACGGTTTGAGGAGACTTAATCTACATGTCTCGAAGAGTATCCTTTGAAATGTATGCTAGCCAACCTATCCGTCTTTATGCCTGCTGTGTTTACGACCTTGGCGAAGGGTTCTATCATCGTGAAATAATCAGACTGCTCACACGTTAACAGGGTGTTACAGTATGCTCAGTGGTTTCTTCGTCTTTGTCCAATGGCGATGTTCAATGTTCAAGGGGAGGTGCGTTGTAGGATTGAGCTACAAAATTCTCAAACTTTCAGTAGTAATTTGGGTATAGAAGAGATGAGGGAATTGGGTTCATGGAAATACAGACACTGTCGTTTTTTAAATCACATTTTTAAGAGGCTTTCACTGAATCCGGCATAACCGACGTCACCTTCTTTGTTTAGATTTTAGGCGAAGTAGATTTCGTTTTTGCTAATAATTACTCTTCTGGTTAACCTTGAGAAGAGAGGTGACATTAAGATGTCCCCCCCCCACATTATTGAAAATTCTCGAATTCTGACATCTATTCTAACCAATCATTCCATTCCCACAATGAATGTCGAAGCCATTGAACTCTCTCTCTCCCTCTCGGACTTCACGGACTAGCCCATTCACCACCACCATCACCACCTCACCATTTCACTTCCATTTGTCAATCTTTTCACGCGTTTTGTAAAACTTACGCATGAGCGACAATTCGTTGTTGCCATGGCTGTTTAGCATGACAGATATTGCATTTTTTTCTTCCACACCACACCACACTACAGTTAAACCCGCAAAGAACGTCGCCTTATGCACAAACAGACCCCAGTAGTAGTAGTAGTACTTCGAATTTCAACTTTTAGTGAACTTAGTAGAACATAGACTTCACGAAAGTTCTTCAAAAAGTCGCCAAAAGTTACTTGAACTTTTGAGTAAGTGCAAGCATTTTATTGATTAGTCGAGATGTCACTCCAGTTAAACTAGAACATTCAGCCATTACAGAGCAAACATATTGAATGTGCTTTTTCTCGAATTTAATCACATTTGTCTCTGACCTAAAATGGTAGCCATTCCAATTCTCGTGATATCATCATTGCTGTGGTCGCATAGAGGTCGCGCTTTTCGAAGCCGTCTCGGTGCTTTCTAAAGAATCCTGAAATTTCTATTTTCACCTTTCTTTAATTTGCGTCATCTCACAAATATGTCATTAAAATACTAGCCTTTTTGGCATTGTGTTTGTACTTTGTGCAAAAGCAGACCACCGTTTCATTCTCTTTGTCTTTTTTTTCACACAATTTTGATTTTGACAACTATCTTCTCAGTAAAAGTGTCATTTACCAGAAGACGCAAAATAAGTTCGCCGTGGGGGGAGGGGGAGGGGGGGGGGTTCGGGCGTGCAATATGAGCACTGTCTGCTAGCAACGGAGTCTCTAGATAGCTCCTTAAACAAACGCATAAACGTCATTAATTGGTTCGTGCAATTCATCTATTTACTTTTAACATTAATTAGTAATGTATCCAATTAAATGAGTGCCCTAGGTGTCTCGTTGATCTTGTGTGCTAGATCTCTGTCTGAGTTATGATCTGCGTCTATGCTGTGCAGTCCTATTCTACTACGCATCTCAAATGCCCTAGTAGTTAGCTTCACACCTTCAAATATCCTTACCACATAATAATAATGGTAAAAAATTTATTTTTTATGTCTCCATTGATCGTTGCTATAACCGCGCTCCTGTCATTTGCGGTATGTTTGAAGATTGTGCTTGGAATTTGATTGATACTTTTAATCCTGCATTCCTCTTGTGTGTTGGATTGACCCTTTTGAGCAACCATGTGTGACAAAAATATTTTGGTGTTGAAAATAAAGTTGAATAATTTATTCTCTGCTGATGATTGAGTAAATGATTAATTTTTTCTTTCAACGCATAAGCTCTCTTCAATCGCAGCACATTTAAGTCGATATTTTCATCAACCTTAGTAATTGGATTCGTTTATTGACACACCGGGCATGTTAGTCTCTACATTCCTCTAGTGGGTTTTAGTAAAATTACGGATATTGTCTTCGCGTATTTAACAGAGCTTTACTTGGTTCCACGGTATACTTATTTATCTCAAATGGCAGGTGTTTTGATAGCCATCATTAGCCCTTTAGCTGACTTTGGAACAACAAAGTGAGAGAAATTCGAGGGGAGCTAGGGGGGACAGAAGAGTGATTCTCAGATGAAAAAGACAGACAGACAAAAAGATAGAGAGGAAAGAGTAAGATGAGTACTGTGAGGTGGTGGAATATGACATACCGTGGGGCCATGGTAGTTTGAAGTCAGAAGTCAACTGCCGGTTAGTAGACTTTTTTGCCATATGAGTATATATTACTCGAATCAGCGTATATTGATCTACAGACTTACATATTCATGGTTGTTGGTTCATATGTGGTGTTGACTATTTCATTTTCTCAATATTTCCGGCGATTCTTTTGAAGGATGCGCTCTTGGGAATCACATTTTCCCCCTTTTATCATGATTGTTTGCATTTCTGATGAACAACTCTAGAATTCTTGAGCACCAACCCATTTCTTTGTGATAGTATGGCAGATAGAAATGGCATAGGTGATCGAAATTGCAATGAGAAGTAGGAGACATAGGAAGGTGATCCAAGAGGCAGACGATTTATAAAAACGGATGTGGGTGGGGGCGGGGGGGGGGGGGGGGGGGGGGGGGGGGGTAACCATTAAGTCACAATGGCCCCTCTACCCAGGATTGCACAAAGGCACACGAAAGTGAGTACATTTCGGCACGTCAATTCCCTCATTAGTCATCAGTCCTTGAGCTGGTGGGTGAGCGTGCTTCTGCCCACCCTAGTACAGCCTCCTTTAAACTCCTCAGCGACAACGAAAGCTTCAAAGTGATATGGTCTCTTGAACGCGGTGCATGATGCATAGGGCGAATTAGGGGAGGGATATGTAGCGGATTAGCTACTTCAATAACATTGACTATTCCCGGGAATTAGCTAAGCTAAGACAAAGTTATAAAGGAAACAGACGTGTAGCAGGGAGCACGTTTATTCAGTACGTATGTTGCGGATAAGTGTAACCGAATCAGGATGGCGGATTAGGTTAAACAAACAGAGGTTAATGATTGGTCACTGTTTTTACGGAAACAAACAGAGGTTAATGATTGGTCACTGTTTGTACGGTCGCACCTCCCAATCCTGGCGTGCAGGCATGCGATGACGTGTTAAGCTATGACGTGTCCCACAGATATCATTAATTGCAAATAAGTATTTTCGTCAAGCCATTTTAGTTCTTGCTTTATTTTAAATCTGCAGTATTGACATATTCATAAGGCCAAGATTTCGCTTATTTCATCCACATCCTTTGAAAACTAAATTAATTGTCACAATTTAATCATGTTCTCGAGATACATTGCGTAAACGGTGCGATATAGCATATTTGACCTCACATTACCCTACCCCGACAGATCAATGCCACTCAGGTCAATTAATAACCAATCAATTGCTTTATTGAGTGCCTATTTAATGAGTTGCCTTTGGCCAGCTGTCTCATGATTCACACGGATTGTCTACCGTTTGCAGCGCATTTTCGCTGTACACTTATAGATAGATTTTGCTTGACATAACAAGAAGTATTCCTTCCTTGACACACACAGAGAGAGAAGTAGGTGAAGATGATACCGCCAACAGGATCACCATCTTTCCAATTACCGCAATCATCTCAGCCCCGGGTAATGGCTGACGAGGAGGTGGAGGAGGAGGGACAAAATTCTGCTGGCAATGTCGTCGATCAGAAGCATACTGCGCATCGTCATCATTTACGAATTTCGCCGCTTCCCCATCACACCACCGCCACCCATCGTCGTCGTCTTAGTCATCAAAGGAATAGGAAGAAAAATTCCACCGATTTTACATGCACTTCTGTCTCTTCAAAGTCCTCGTCGTCAAGTTCTTCCACCAGTTCTTCGAGTTCCTCCAGTTCTTCAAGTTCATCGAGCACTTCGAGCTCATCATCGAGCGATACGTCCAGTTCCGCACCGGTAAGCCTTATTGTTATTATTATTTGTACTTGCGTAAATAATATACGTTTATTTATTTACTAAGTGTTTTTTTTTTGCTATTCAACTCCCCCCCTCCCCATCCCAAATATAGAGGAGGAGTCTATTCCTTTCTCGCTTTATTCTCGATTAATATTATTTATATCAAATGACAGGCTTTATAATAGCAGTACATTTATTTATATCAAATGGCAGGCTTTATGGAAACAAAATTTATTTATTTATTTCAAATGGCAGGCGTTTTGAAAGTTATCATTAGCCCTTTAGTTGACTTCGGCTTCAACAGAAGGGAGGAGCATTTTAGCCCTTTAGCTGACTTCGGGCTTCACAGAGAGGAGGAACATCAAGCCCTTTAGTTGACTTCGGGCTTCACAGAGAGGAGGAGGAGCATCAAAGTAACAGAGAGTCGAGGTGTGGGGAACAGAAGAGTGTTTCACAGATCTAAAAGCGACAGACAGGCACAAAGGTAGAGAAAAAGGTAAGGTGAGTACTGTGAAAGTGATCGAATGTGACATACAGTGGGGTCATGGTAGTTTGATGTCAGAAGTCAGGAGATTTTAATTTAGCCTGACCACCAGTTATTTCCAAGTGGATGGAGGAAATCTAAGCAACTCCCAACATCGCCACTTCTTTAAAACCTCACATTCCGTCCTTGTTGCGGTTCTTCTCTGCCAGACGAATCAAATCTCAACCCAATTGAACATTAGTAGAGGTGGAAACAAATTAAATTGTTTTTATCAAGGTGGACAAAAAGCGGGCTCAAGTCTGTGGGTTTCTTTGAGAGGGGGAGAGAGGGAGAGGGCGCCATTGGTAAAGTTACTTTCATCCCCATGAGGCTGCGGACGAGTGGAAAATGGCGTTTGGCTGTTTCAATTGCTTTGGGAATTTACGCGAGTCTCAGGTTCACCGCATTTGTTGTTGTTGTTGCTGCTGCTGCTGTTAACGTACTCTAGGCCCACATTCCGAATACTTTATGGTGCATTGTTTTCTTTTTTTTATTTCAAATTATTATCGAAGTTAGCTTAGCTTTATTTCGATGTGCCGACAACACTGCTTCTTTTGTTGGTTTGTGAGATTTCTGATGAAGAATTCAAAAAAAAAATAATGAATAATTTTTCCTCTTCTTGTTGTTCTTGAGGAAATAGAGTGAAAATGAGGAGAGTTAGTGCGATGGATCAGCTAATCAGCTCAAAGCCAAGATCTATAATCTGGCAGTATGCTCTTCGACTTCTCGAGAGGCAGGGGGTACTTTAAAGGTAGATCGATTTAGCATTAGGAACTATTCTCGCTTTGTCCTTCAAACTTTTGACGAGTCTATCAGCTCCTTCTTCATATGAACAGCGATTTCTAAAGCAAAGTTGATATTCCATTCAAACTGCTTTATTTTGTTGTGTATATATATTTTTTTAAATTTCAATATTTCTAACGTCACGCTTGTAATTGGGGGGAGCGTTCGATAATTGTAATTGATTATTTCAATTCAACCTCCCCCCCTCCCCCCAAATAAATGACCCGAAACTTATAATTAGTGAAGAGCATGAACAATATTAGAGAAATCATATGTTGTTAAATTAATTTGTAAATTAGTAGGTAGGCAGTGGACTGAATGACCAACAATTGCAAACAATTATTATTGGTATTGCCTCCATGAGAGAGTGGAAGCCCCCGGAAATATTATTATTATTATTATATCAAATGGCAGGCGTCTTGGTGGTTATCATTAGCTCTTTAGTTGACTTCAGGCTTCACAGAGGGGAAGGAACATCAAAGTGAAAAAAGTCAAGAGGGGGGGGGGGAACAGAAGAGTGTTTCAAAGACGTAAGAGACTAACTAGTCGAATATGGCATAGAGTGAGGTGATGGTAGTTCAAAGTGAGAAGTCAACTGCCAGTTGATAGACTTTTTTGCCGTTTGTGTATACGTTGCCCAGGGTGCACCACGTGGAGGTAAATATTGAATTGGATTGATTGATGGGGCTCGGGTTGAGTCTGATAGGCGAAGCAGAACAACAAAATCACCGAAAAAAAGACTGAAATCACCTTCATATTCTAATGCCCAAGTTTCAGGATTCCTCGCCCCAAATTTCCTGATAGATGAATTCGCGTTCACGATGTCAGGAGGTGTTTATGACTACTTTTATAATTTAGATGCGATTAGTCAACCACTTCATCTAACCTTTCTCTTTGTGAAACTCTACAACCAGACTACATGTGACCCTTTATCTAACCTCAAATAACTTTGGATTAGCGTGTCAATAGTAAATGTGGATGAAGTGTAAAATACTAAAAGGCTGTTAAATTTAATGCGAAATTTGCCTCCACGTTCAAAACACTCTTATGTGAGTGTTATTGGAATACAATTTGTCACCTCAAATGTTCCTGTCTCGGGGTGTGCGATAGACTTACCTCCACGTGGTGAACCCTGGGCAACGTATATTCATACGGCAAAAAAGTCTATTAACTGGCAATTGACTTCTCACTTCAAATTATCGTGACACCACTGTACGTCATTGTCGACTTCTTCCACAGTGCTCACCTCACCTTACCTTTTCTCTACCTTTGTGTCTGTCTGTCTATCTCTTTTACATCTGTGAATCATTGTTCTGTCCCCCTCTCGACTCTTTGCCACTTTGATGTTCATCTTCCTTTCTGTGAAGCTCGAAGTCAACTAAAGGGCTAATGATACCTATCATAACGCCTGCCATTTGAAATAAATAAATAAATGTTCCTGTCTCTTGCCAGTGAATGGGATGCCGATTGGGTGCACCTTAGAGTTATTGCGTAATAACTCCCAGTGTTTATGTTACCCTGGTGGGAAAAATTCTGGTGTAGTTGGAAGATGTCGCTTCTGAAAGTGGAATATTTCCCTGCAATTCTAATGGTCTTTAACGCCTTTCTAATGAAATCCTATTGGTCAGGAAACTTGTTGCAAAATATTGATTTTCACCGTGAAAAGACACCTATGTCCCACTTGGCTTGTATATTCACGCTTTAACCAGAAAAATGGCATTCAATGGCCTCGACTGAAAGGGAAATTCAAAATCTCTAGTCGATAGTACTTTACGCCACGAGATGTTTGTGTTTTCGCTTGAAGTTGTTTTTCCGTTCATTCGCTTCTCTTCTCTGATTACTTTTTTGTCACGCCGATAAAGTGCTAATAGTAGAAGTTTGCAGCGCAGTAGCAGAGCTTTGTACTTTGGTCTCGGGTACAAAATTCGACTTTCCT